GATGAAGCTGAAAACCATCATTCTCAGCAAACTAACACAGCAACAGAAAACCAAACACTGCATGTTCTCACTCATAAGGGGAGTTGAACAATGAGAATACATGGACACAGGGAGAGGAACATCACACACCAGGGCCTGTTGTGCGGGTGGAGACCTAGGGGAGGTATAGCATTAGAAGAAATACCTAATGTAGATGACAGGTTGATGGATGCAGCAAACCAGCATGGCACGTGTATACCTATGTAACAAACCCACACGTCTGCACATGTATCCCAGAACTTACATAGTATAATAAAAAATAAAAATTTTAAAGCCCAGTGTTGGGTAATGAGGAGCAGGCAAGTCATCTCTGAATGTCATTATTGTTAAAGTAAGGAGAAAAATTCCAGCAACATTTTTCAATGTTTACAAAACGTTTCCACAGGTCCTGCTTAGGAAACTGCCACCTTCTCCAACTGGAATCTTGCTCAGGAGTCATGACTAAATGCCTTCCAAATTGCAGGATCTATTTAATTTGTGTGGTTTCTATCCCAAAGGTTTCTTGTTAATTAATTAAAGTCTTGCTCTAAGTTTAACAGAGAAGCCAGGATTTCTTATAAGAAAAATGGCTTTCTCTTTTCTTTTTAATCTTGACAAAAGATCTGAAAAATGTGCTGTGGATTAAAGATGCCAACTCTGAGTGTGTGATGCAGACCAGCAGAAAGAAGACAGGAGGCTTTGCAACTCCAGTCCCTCCTTCCTCCATCCACCAAAGTAGCGTGACTTTGAACTCACATAAAACAGGAAAGGAGACACTAAAGGTGACCCAGAGAGACATCATTCCTTCCCACAAATACAGTGTGATAGGAAAGTGTAAGAGATAAATGCAGATGAGAATTCACCCAACATCTGGCCTTAAGCTCTGTTTATCTGCCTGAAACCTGGCTGCATGTATCAAACTGGATGGCTTACTGACTATTATAAATACAGTCATGTGTTGCGCATCATTCGGTGATTTTGTTGTGTGACCATCATCGAGTGTACTTACACACACACACATGGCATAGCACACCTAAACTATGTGGCACAGCTTATTGCTTCTAGGCTACAAACCTGTACAACATGTTACTTTGCTGAGTACTCTAGGCAATGGTAACACAATAGCAAATATTTGTGTATCTAAAGATATCTAAACAGAGAAAAGGTATGGTAAAATTACGACATAAAATATAAAAAATGGTACACCTGTATAGGGCAGCTCCATTTTAATCTTATGAGACCACCGTTATATTTGTGATCCATCATTGATTGAAATGTTGTTAAAATATTAATAAGCATGACACTCCCTTTTTTAAGAAAGGCATTCAGTTGCTTTAGTTCACCTAAAGTACATTCAGTACTGATATTCTTTCACATTGCATAATACATGTGCAACATGGAGATATAATTCAGACCTGCTGTGCCCCATCTTGGTTCTGAGGGATGGCGAATCTTTGGGGCTGTTCTAGAGGTAGAGCTGTGTCATAAAGCAAGGCCACAGCACTGAGAAAAAGCAGGAATGTTGACAAGGCACGTACATAGCAGCAGTTCTTACTCTTTTTCTTTTAAAGCAAGAATGGTTGTGTCCCTTTCATAAGCATTACGAGCTGAAATGTGACTTCTCAAAATTCACAGCTTTAAGCTTTAACCCCCAGTACCTCAGAATGAGACAGTATTTGGGGATAAGCCCTCTCAAGGGGTGATTACTTTAAAATAAGGCCACTAGGTGACCCTAATCCAATCTGATTTTTGTCTTTTTAAGAGGAGAAGATTTCAACATAAAAAGAAAAACCAGGATAAGGACAGGGAGAGAAGGCAGCCATCCACAATCCAGTGACCTCAGCAAAAACCAGCCCTGCCAACACCTTGATCATGGACTTCCAGCTTCCAGAACTCTGAAGAAAAATAAAGTTTCTGTTGTTTAAGCCACTCAGTCTGAGGTATTTTGTGACGGCAGCTCTAGCAAACTAAAGCAAAGAGAACCTGGAAAACAAAGGCTCCCAGTAGGCAGTTTCATCATCAAAATCCATAACTGCCAGCCTCTGGAGGTGAGGGGCTCTGCCACAGCCCCCTGTTCAGGGTGCAGATCCCACGGGCCCTTGCTTTGGTGTCTTTACCATGGTAACCGTAATTACAATTGCAAGTCTAATAATTTCAGTAGTATTTGCACAATATCATTCTGAATGTGCCAGAGCTCGAACCCTGTATACATAGGCATCTGTGGCAGAACCAACTCATCAGCAGGTGACATTACACCTGGCTCTGATGCATTGCCCTCGACATATCAATGGCTGGAACTTAGCTTAATCAATAAACAGGTGTAAGATTTTTACATTTTTATTTAACATGTTAGTGTTGCCAAGGCAGCCTTCCCCAGGCCCCGCTCTCCCACCAGAAGCAGTGGTGGGCCCATAGTATAAGCTACCATGTCTGGCAGGTACATGAAGTCATCCAGTTATGACTGAAGGTGTTTCTAGTCACAACTTGTCCTCCTCCTCTGCTCCCTAGAAATAGGGAATAGGAGCCTGACATGTTGCAGGCTAGCTTCCCGCCTGGAGCTTCCCTCACAGATAGGACCCTCTGTATCCATTTCCTTTGTCAAGCTCCTTGGATCCCTAAACTTATTCACCTTCCCTCTTGCTGATTCAAGCTCCTACTCCAGCTTACAGTAACCACACTGGATTCTGACAATATCCAGGGTTTACGTTTCCCTGTCCCACTCCAAGTTGAGGTATGCCTAAACTTTCATAAACAGAGGTTTCATCATCCTTGAAAAAATATATGAGGACTGTCTACAGTTGACCCTTTCCCGATCACCCAGGCTTGTTTGTCAGTTTTCTCTGACTTAATGTTCTTCCCATTGTTTGGTTCCAGGAATTTTCTCTACTTGTCTGTGAGTTAAGATCCCCAACTCCAAACTCTAAAGAATATCCTGTCTTTGAATAAGAAAAAAATGTTTTTCACTACTACCAACTACAGAGGCCAGATGATGCCAAATGTAGGAGGGAGGATGGAAGTGGGGAGAAGGAAGGAAGGAAGAAAGGAAGGAAGGAAGGAAGGAAGGAAGGAAGGGAGGGAGGGAGGGAGGGAGGGAGGGGAGGGGAGGGGAGGAAGGGAGGTGAGGAAGGGAGAGAGGGGAAGGAAAGGGAAGGGAAGGAGAGGGAAGGGAAGGGAGGATGAAGGGAAGGAAGCAAGAAGGGGAAGGAGGAGGAAGGGAAGGGAGAAAGAAGGGAAGGGAGAAAGAAGGGAAGGGAGAAAGAAGGGAAGGGAGAAAGAAGGGAAGGGAGAAGGAAGGAAGGGAAGGCAAGGGAAGGGAAAGGAGGAGGAAGGAAAAGTAAGGGAGGAGGAAGGGAGGGAGAGAGCAAGGGAAAGGAGAGGGAGGGAAGGAGGGAAAAGAGAGAAAGGGGAGAGGAGGGGAGGGGAGGAGAGGGAAGGGGAGGAGCCTAGAAAAATCTTTAACATGCAGAATTATCAATTCATTCTTTGTATCACTAGGTACTGTTTAAACAACCTGGTTTTAAGCCTCCATTCTCAATGATATTTACTCTTTCATAATAAATGCCTGTCCTGACACTGTACATTATTAACTTAGCATATTAATATGCAATTAACTGATTCAGCAATTTAACATGCTTTAAATTATATGCTCTACTGGTCTATGTCAATAGCACCTGACCACATGGCAGGGGGCAGCCTCCTGCTTATCCTACCAGGCATTCAGCATTCAGTGGTTAAAGGAGTTGTCCCTCCACCAACATAAGAGCTAGCCCTGCCTGGTTCCTGACGCTCCACAGTCACACCAGAGAATCCAAGTCTTGGCTGAGAAGGGGAGCTCCCCAGGAGAAGTGACATTCCTTCCTCCCTCATGATGGAACTCCAACTCCCTCCAGGACAGTTCACAGTCACCTCCTCTGTGAGGCTCTTTGAGATATAATGGGTCCCACCCGGGCATGATGGCTTATACCTGTAATCCCAGCACTTTGGGAGGCAGAGGCAGGCAGATCACTTGAGGTCAGGAGTTCGAGACCAGCCTGGCCAATATGGTGATATCTCGTCTCTACTAAAAATACAAAAATTAGCCAGGTGTGGTGGCACATACCTGAAATCCCAGCTACTCAGGAGGCTGAGGCAGGAGGATCACTTGAACCCAGGAAGCAGAGGTTGCAATGAATGGAGATTGCACCACCATATTCCAGCCTGGGCGGCAAGGATTCCATCTCCAATTAAAAAAAAAAAACATTAAAAAAAAAAAAGAGGGAGCTAATGGGTCTGCCCTCTAGACTCCTGGCTCTCAGGAGGCATTATGCACAATGGAATTCTGCCTATATAATAGTCTCCATCAATTTGCAGAAGGCAAGGCTCACAAGAAAAAATTTTCCCATGTTCAACTCTTGTACACAGTAGGTAGTAAATACCTGTTAACTACATTTAATTTCAAGTAATTAATGACAGGTATTTAATCATTCAAGTGTTAATTTTTAAATTTTTAAAATTACTTCAGAGATGATATCTTGATCTGGTTTTATACTTTGAAACACAACTTGAACTAGCTTGAGCTGTCAATATAAAAAGAAACATAATTAGGTAATCTAATTTTTTAATGGATTAAGAGAGGAAAAATTTTTCTTAGGGATAGGCAAGGAAGATGTGGGATTAATGTTTTGTCAACTTATAATTTCAGTGTTGGCAAGACCCTCTGAGATAACGACATGATTTTTTTCCACATAAATCTGAAATTTCTAGCATTTGATGGATTTCTATTTTGTCTCAGACACCAGGTAGTTGGTGGGCAAAGGATGGAGAAGTCCTGAAATTACAAATTACAAACCCACTGCCTCGTCACTATCTTAGAACTATTTTTTCCTGAGTCTAACCAACGCTCTGGTCTTTAAAACAGAGTTTGCAAGTGTAAGGATTGTGACGATATTCAAAACATTGAGACAAATAAGACAGCTGTGAAAGTTAGGAAAAAAGTCGCTTACTCAGTGCCACTCTCCACCATCTGCGTGAGGAGGGAGATGCCATCCAGGTTTATAAACTCCTGGGCAAACGTGACATCCCTGGAGAGGCTGGCCAAGTCCTTCAGGGCTTCCAGCTTGGCGTCCATACTCGAGGACTGGATTCTTTCATGCAGCTGCTGGGCGTTCTGAGCCTTACAGGGCAAAAGCAAAGGGAAGAGTGTTGACAAAAGAAACCACAACAGCAAAACAGATTCATGTTTCAATGAGAAACAGAGATACAATGGCCAAAAGTACAAGACTATCTGCATATTACAGAGTGGGCATTTCAAGAACAGACTTCAAGGCTTCCAACCCAAACACTCCACCTTCAGAGCGAGGTCCACTCATGTCACGATGGGAAGCAGCTGCATTCTTCTCACAGGGGTTTGGTTTCCATTTCAAGGAAAAGCAAGAGCACAAGAATATTAAAGCCCTAGAAACTGAACAGGATGTGGCAGAAAGGAGGGAGGAAATGGGAAGTATTTATTCTTTAAGTAAAATTATTATGTAAAAGCAACTGAAAGCTATTTGCTTAGTTAAGCAATTACGCAAATTTATACAGCATGCTCACCCGTTCGGTCAATATCTGAGTAATAACTGCCTACACATGTTCAGAAGCTTCATTAGCCACCCAAATGAGCTTTCTAGGTTACTGCAAATCTTCCAGCACTCCACAACGATGCTTGTAAATTTCAATTTTCAACAACATGTGTTTCACATGCATTGGCTACTTGTGTGAATTTAAAACTAAATATAATTAGGAAACTAAATTAACAGCTATGCCTAGAATGACTTTTAAGGCATTTGCACTTGGCTTCTATACTCAGGACAGAGAGGAATAGAAATATATGAGAGAAGCTGAACTTCCGGATAATAATTTGTAGTCCAGATGTCTTACTCACCCAGTCAACGTTTACATATCCACCTTTCAGTTGAGGCAGGCAGTAAGAAAAATAAAGGACTAAAATGTTCTGCCTGTGTTTTTGCTTAATAGAGATAACTGAATATCTGTTGTGGTTTTATTTAACTCAAAATCACTGTGGTTCAAGCACTCTGCCATAATCATATTCTCCTTCTCAGGTACTTGCTTTCTGTCTCTTTTTCTTTTCCTTTTCTTTTTTCTTTTTTTCTTTTGAGACAGAGTCTCACTCTGTTGCCCAAGCAGGAGTGCAGTGGCGCAATCTTGGCTCATTGCAATCTCTGTCTCCAGGGTACAACCAATTCTCCTGTCTCCGCCTCATGAGCAGCTGGAATTACAGGTATGTGTCACTATGCCCGGCTAATTTTTTTTTTTTTTTTTTAAGTAGAAACGGGTTTCATGATGTTGGCCAGCCTGGTCTCAAACTCCTGACCTCAGGTGATCCACCTGCCTCGGCTTCCCAAAGTGCTGGGATTATAAGCGTGAGCTACCGCACCAGGCCCTTGCTTTCTCTTTTGAAACTGTGTTATATTAGAGAGAGAGAGAAGATGGGATGTTGACCCCACTAATGAGGTATCTCTCTCCTCTTTGAGGAACCCACTGCGAACTATCACAAGGTTAAGGTTGCAGAGTGGAGACAGTAGAGCCACATCAGTATTGAAGGCAAAACCGATGCTGGCTACAAACTCCGCCTAGAATAGAGGAGGGACTCACCCAGGTACGGAGAACAGAAGGACTGGAGCCCAGCGGGTACACAGCCACAGAGCCTGCCCTCCACTGTCACCCGGAAGCAGCCCTCAAGAACAGAAAAGGATTCAGCAGGGAACTGATGCAATTCTTTAAGACCCGAGACAGGGATGGAACACGTGCCTCCATCAATTGGTCAGAGATGTGCTCAGCTCTCCCATTTAATTAAAACCAAAAACAGATGCTTTGCATCAGAAATTAGAAAAGAATGAGAAGAGTGGGGAGGAAAACGAGAAGCCTCCCTACTTATCTACTCACTGATCTACAGATAACCAACACATCACTCTAATACTAAAAGGGAGAGTGAAGATCTGGGTGAGAATTATTTATCTCTTAAAATTGTTCAAGGATATACTACTTTCCAAAATTTTCAAATGGATATACAACATTTACATGAACATGTAATAGTTAACCCAAGCAAATCATTTCAAATTGCTTAAAAAGTGTATTTTTTCTCCAAGAAGGATGTCTGCATTTACTATATAGATTATGACAATAATGAGTACCCAAAAACTATTTCATTGCCATTATTAATGCTAATTAATAGTGTTTGTTACAGTTGATACCAACATAAAAAATAGCCAATATAAAAACCTAGCACTTTTTATGAGCCACTGTTCTAAACACCGTCATAAAGTAATTCATTAAATCTGCACAATAGTCCCAACCAGGTAGGTCCTATCACAGTTTTCATTTGACAGTGGAAACTGAAGTTCAGGGAAGTTAAGTAACTTACCCAAGGTCACACAGCTTATCTGTGCTGAAGCTGAAATAGAACCTGGGCAGCTGGACTCCAGAAAATACACTGTAAACAGTGGATCTCAAATTGTTGTCTGCATAAGAATCACCAGGATGGCTTCTTAAAACACAGACCATGGGTGACCCCCAGAGTTTCTGGTTCTCAAGTCCTGGGGTGGGGTCCCAAAAATTGTGGGTTGAACAAGTCCCCAGGTGCTGCTGCTAGTGGCCCGGGAATCACACGCTGAGGACCACCACTGTAAATCACTCAGGATGCTGCATCTCTCCGTGATGATGGAATGGGCAGCTCTGGTTGCGTTTTTCTTTCCTTTTTTTTTTTTTTTTTTTTTTTTTTTGAGATGGAG